TACTATATGTAGTGATATATAGTATATTATTAAAAAATTTCAAATGACTTCAAATTTAACAAAAGGAAAATATTATTAATTTTAATATACTTTATTGATTCTTTGCTTGTTAACTTAAACATGATAATAATAAATCCTTTTATTATCAAAATATCTAATTAAATTATTAAATTAAATTAATTGATAATTTATATAAGATATTGTTAGATATTATTTAATATTATATTATTATAAATATCTATTTTCTCTTCTAAGTAATATATGCTGTAAAATCATATGATATAATTTTACATAGTGATCAAAAAAACTGATATAATTTATTAAAGTTTATATAGTAATAGATAAAATTGATTATATAGTATAAAATCTAAATCTAATACTTAAATTTAAAAGAAATTTATTAAAAAAAGAAAAAAAAATCAATGTTTGCAATGATCTTATTCAAAATTTAACTGCAATTTTATTAAAATTCATGAAACTTTAACACACTTATTTCACATTTAACATTTTACATTTGCAACATTTTTTAATAAATATTGATATTTTGTATTAAATATTAAAAATGAGTCATCAAACATTTTTTCTTAGTCTAAATTTAATAAAAAGCTAATATATGATTCACTAACAAATAAATATCAAGAGTTTACAAATGTTTATATGTATAGTATTATGGTAAAAATAAGTAACTATATTTCTGATTTTGCTGTTATTTATCAAGAGACCATAAACGAGTAGAATAAAAAAGAGTGTTAATAATATTAATAGTATAATTCAGAACTATATAGTTATACTATTTAATCTATATAATATACAGTCAATGAGATATAAACATTCCTGTGTCTTTGAAAAATTGAATCCTTCTCTCTTTCCTTTTATTATTCATTTAGTAGACCCTTTACCAGAAATTCTTACCAATGCTTTAACTCAAAAAAGAGCAGCAGATGCAATTCAAATAGCTAAAAAAATTTACGAATTTGAGCAGATTTACAATATTATTAGTAATATACAAATTCATCATGAAATATATCAAAAATAGAAAGAGATTAAATCTAATAAAGATAGAATTGACAAATTAAAAAAAATGCTAAATATACCCAAAATTATAAAGAAAAAAATTGAAACAACTTATTAAAAATAAAGAGATTGTCTATTATGATAAATCTGAAAGGTTATCATTTCTTTTCAAATATTCAGATTTGTATGATCAAATATATAATTACTTGAAATTTAAATTAACTAATGCAAAATAATAGAAAAAGGCTATCAAAGTTCAGACAATAAAAATTTATATAAAAATCTTGAAGAGAGATACAAAATTTATATGATGAAAATTACATTGAAAAGTTACTTTTTACCTTGTCAATCAAACTTGATTATTGCGAAAATATATTATTATTCAGTATGGATTACAGTCATCAGTGTTTTACATACTAAAATGTATAAACATTCTGATAGTTATTATTGTTTCACATTAGTAAATGTGTAAAACAATTTGTTAGTACTTTTGCTGATGTATCAGTTGTTATCTTCTAAGATGATAAAATATTAGATTGAGAGTATCTGTAGTAAGTTATATATTCTGTATATTATAATCTATTAATGAACCTACAATTATAGTAGACTATGATTTTTCTATAGAAACTGGATAAAAAGTAATTCTATCAATATATTTGATGATAAATTTAAATAGATTTAATGATAAATTGCAAATAGGAATATTAGCAATTTTGTATATTTCCAATGATTTCTTAGAACATCTTTACTTACATATATGTAAGACCTGAAAAATATTATTTTAAACCCTTAATATAATTATGTGTTAAAAATAAATAGAATAATTTGACTAATATAAATTTTATTAGTTGATAAAGGGTTAGATGAAAATCTCAAGCATTTAAAATATAAAATTCTATTATCAATTTTTTAAAAAATTTGACTTAGATTTTTTAAACGTACAAATCTATGCTTCTGATCAATCAAAGTATAATCTGGTTAAAAGAGATATAGTAATATTATCTGATAAACTCACTAGTATTACTTTACCAATTAATCATTTTGATACGTATTTGAATTTATAAGATAAAGTTATAGATCTTGAATTAGTTACTCAAAATTTTCGTTATTTAGGAGAAGCATTTTGCGAAATTTAGAATTATAATTTAATTTTAGAAAGAAGGTTAATACTTGTTATATTAATATACTTACAAATTAATTTGATGACATATAGTTTAAGAGAATAGAAAGAAAAAAGGTTGAATAATTAAAAAGGAGGAAAAAAGAACAAAAAAATCAAATGATATATATAAAGAAACAACACGTATCTATTCTAAATATTTTATACTATAGTCTTAAATTAAAACTTAATGTAATTTTGTACCTATTCTTTTGATATCAAATGCTACATAAATACTAACTATTGTAGATCACCTAAAAACAAAGAAGCCATAGACTTTCTTCATCTATATAATTACTAACTATTAAAGTCAAATATGGCTGATTTACAAACCTAATTTATCTTCTTCAATACAGAGATCTTCTAAAAATACTAGGCTATAATGCCTATTGTACGTTTATTAAAAAAATACATATTTACAGCTTTACTATTTCATTTATCAAAAATACTTTTCATTTCCATATTTTTAATAAATAATAAATAATCAATGCATCTTAATACCTAAGAATAGCCTAAGAAATAATAAAATTCTTCTTTTTACAATCTTTCTCTTCTCTTATTTCAATAAAAAAGGTCGTATGATAAAATAGAACTTGAATCAAGGGCTTATAATTCAGATAAAGAATGAGTAAATTTTACAAAAAGTATATTAAATATATGCGTATATGATATGTATATATACTTGTATAGCTATATAATAAACATATTACAATTTGCTAAACCACTTTTTTCCAATGATTATTATGTGATAAATTTTACCTATTATGTGATCATATTATTATGTGTAACTTAAAATCTTTATTATCTCTCATCTCTTAAATTATTAGGTAATTTCTGACTGTATCCTAATTGTATTAGTATTTTAATAATTTTATTTATTATTATAATTTAAATTTTAAATATTATCTCAGTAACCAATAATCAAAATTTAATAAATAATAACTTATTTTAGTTTTTTTAATAAATTAAATCTATTAGTAATAAAATTATAGAACTTAATTTATTTAATTTTAGAATATTCTATCTAATATATTTTATTTATATTATTTAAATTTAAAATATATTTACAAATATTTCTAATATAAGAATTTTTGTATTATAAATGTAATAATTTATAAATAATATCTAATTAAATAATTAATTTATATAAATATAATACAATTAAAAAATATTAATTGTTAAATTAAAATACTGATTAGTTTATTTATATATAGATATTATAATCTTCTTTGTTTTCTAATATAATAATTAATTTTGTAAAATTGTTTTTATAAAATATGAAGATTATTTATAGAAATAGTATTATTAAATATAATTTTAAAAGTTATTCTAAATGAAATATTTATTAATTTATAAATTAATAAATAAATTAAATATTTTGTTAAATATAATTTACTTGTTAAATAAAGTTTTTTTTTGTAAGATTTAATGTCAATAATTTTATTAAATTGTTTTAAAATATTAGATAATGTAGTCATAAGAGGTAAAGGTAAATGATTATGAATTTCTTTTGAAATAATAGCAATAAATAGATAATTTTTTAAATTGTCTAACATAAATAAATTAAATTGAACATGGTATTTTGAATAATAATTACATTTCAATAATCATATTTTTAATTAAATAAGAAAACCTATAGATATATAAAAATAAATAAATACTTTATATATAAATTGTAAATATATATAATATTTATTGTAAAATTAAAAATAAATACTGTATATAAGATCTTTGCAATAGGAACAAGGAAATTACCAAAAAAATCAATTTTACTTTTATATATCAAATATGATTTTTAGATTAAATATATTCAGATTTAGCATTAACTTATCTTTTATTTTTTAAACTATTTTACTGTAAAGGTTTTATATAATAAATAATTAATTTTAAAGAATTATATAAAATAGTATTATAATTTTATACTTGTAAAAAATCTTAATCATTTCTTATAAATAAATAAATAATAATAAATATTTAAATTAATAAATAAATAATAAATATTATACTTATTCAAAATCTTCAATAAACAAATTTATAATCAATATAATTCTTCTAAATATCATTATTAATTCTATTATCTTTTACAGGAATATATCTATATTTTTTATGGATTTTTCTAATTCCAATTAGCATATTTAATAAAAAATACATTTTCTATTATCTAATATTTTTTAAAAATAAAATAATTAAACTTAATTTGTTAAAATATTTAAAAAAATATTAGATATACCAAGGTTTTATATTTTTTAGAATAGGTATTTCATTGTAATGAATATTTGTTTCAGGATTAATAAAAGGACAAGGTGTTTTATGTACAGTAATGAATTGGCTAAAAATATTAAGATATTATAACAAATATTTTGTTAAATTAATATGAAAACTAAATTACTTACCTCAAGATAAACTTTTAAAAATGATAATCTGTTTGATCTAGTAATTTTATATAGTATTCATTTTTGAAATCAACAATGATATGTTTTCCTTCTATATTTACTTTAAAGCAAATTTGCATATTTTTATTCCTTGATGTTATACTTCAATGCGAATTGACGATTACTAATTAAATTGTAATTTGATAGATGAATTGTATTTTAATGTTGAATTGACGTAATTAATTTTGACATCATCAATTTTGATATAATCAAATTAATTAGCGCCAAAATATACTTGATATATTCTAAATTCTTTTTTGCAAGCAATTCTTAAAACTGGGTGATTTTTTAAATTTGACATTTTTCTAGAATCACCTAAAGTATATTGAATATTTCTTAATCTAAAAATCTTCTTGCTTTATCAGATTTCCACCCAGCAACATTGTAAATTGTTGCTACTCCAGTTTCAGAACTTTTGGATATTCTTTAAATTCAAAAAAATATTCAATATCCCAAATTTTAAGATTTGGTCTAAACACAGCTGTTATCTGATTCTATGATTCTAATATAATAAAAAAATTAAATTATAATAAATATAAATAATAAATATAAAAAAAAAAAATAATTACCTCAATACTGATATCAGATATAGTTTTATCTTTATCGCTCACTTTTTCATTATATAAATTTATATAAAGGGTTTCCTATAAAATTTTTGTTTTAATAAATTTAATTGCAATATAAACTTCGTGAATAATATAGCATTTATTATTCTATTGCAATTTTAATTATTTTTATGTTGAAATGCTTTTGTTTTATTTAATACATAATGTTGGATCAAAAAATTCATCAATATTGTCGCTAGAGCTATTAGAAATGTTATCTGTCATTTTATTTATTATTGATGGTATTAAAACAAAAGAAGTAAAATTTTTACTAAAAGGAATACAAAGTGTAAAATTAGAAAGAACGAAATTTTTTTTTTTTGCGAAATGTGAGAAATTTATTTGTTGTCTTAAAAAAGAAAATCCAGTACGGTTTGATGATCTGCATAACGGTCAAGCGAATCGGATTTATAAATACCATTTATTATTTCCTTTTATTAAATTAGATACACAGCTTTATTGGTTTCTGTAATTTGAGAAAAAAATTAAATAAAGATAACGTAACCCTTACCTTATTAACAATGTTACAAAGCAATTTGTTGTATTTAAATAGAAAATACCTAAAAAATATTTGAACTGTTGTTCGACCTGGGCAAAAAAATTAACTATTTTTTTTTTTTTTATAGTAATTTATATCTTCATTATTGAATTTTCACGTATAGTTTTGATGCGTATGTCAATAGCAGAGAGGATTCATCTCGAGAAGGATTTCAAATGTAAGGTCATAACCCAATGGATGATGACAATGAAGAAATTGTGTTTCGAGTTTTCGATCATTTTGCGAACTTGATAAATTATGTAAAAATTTTTGTGTTCGGTGTGTGGGTAATTTCTGTGAAAATGATCGACAATTTTTCACGGCAAGCTTCCAATTATTTTTTTTATTTCATTGAATTTCATATCTCATCCTTAAATCTTTAACTGATTGCTAAATTGAATAGTAATTCGGTACCAAGACGTGAAAGTTCAAAGATCCTAGTTTTAACAACAGCAGGTTAAATATAAAGACATGACACACGTGTTTGTGGAGCATTGATGCGAAATCTGCTTATAATCGACCTCATCTTGATAATTTAGCATACATCTTATCGTTGTTTGGCGCATCTTTTTTTTTTAAAAAAAAAATCCGTGTAACATGGAAAAAAATTGAGGTTACCCACGCTATTTCATTTCAACAAAAAGTGCTTTATTGGCTTATAAATCTGTATACAATAAACTTTAAACGCACATGATTAAAGCATTTTTTTTTTTAAAAAGAGGTAACGTATCGAACGAGGATTTCATTAAATGCTTCTAAATAGTAAATATTTATTCCATTTGAACCAATAATACGAATGATACACCGAATAAATAGAGAGATCGGCCTAAATAACCTCTTTCAGGGCCGGAATTACGATAATGTCAGCCAGTGACTAAAAAGTTGATGTTGAGTAAATTTCGCGTGCAATGTTTTAGTAGCGCAAAATTAAACGCTGGGAAATTGTTTGGATAATCGATTAAATGAAAATAATGTAATGGTGAAATGATACTAATTCCCATGACCAAACACACGCCACATGACACAATAATATTTTTTTTATCATTTAAAACCAGTCGTCTGTGTAAAAAAAAATCATGGAAAATTTTCAAAATGTCCAATTCAAAAGAATGGCTTGAAGAATCTATTTCAAAGAAACATATAAAACACTATGAATACAAAGATTTTAGCAATCTTCAAGAAATTGGTTCTGGAGGATTCGGAAAAGTTTACCGTGCTAATTACAAAACCTCGGAATTACCTTTCGCTTTAAAATCCTTTCTTAACATTGACAATGTCACTGTTAAAGAACTTGTTCGAGAGGTAAATTATATATTTGATATTTCGTTCGGTTTAATATAGGATTGATCATTTTGTATTTATTTACTTTTATATTTATCTAATTAGCTTAACAATCAATGTGAAGTTGATTATCATCACAATATAATCCGTTTTTATGGGATTACTACATTAATCAAAGGTACAAAAAAAAAAAAAAAAAATATTTCTCTAGACTTTTGTTATGATGCGAGTCGAAATTAATGGTATATTCTTGTTTTATTAGATAGTCAAAAAGAATATTTATTAGTAATGGAGTATGCTGATGGTGGCACACTTCGAAATTATTTGAAAAATCATTTTTCTAAACTTACTTGGGAGAACAAGTATGACTTGGCATATCAGTTAGCTTGTGCCGTGTCATGCTTACATGATGAGGGTATTGTGCATCGCGATTTGGTAATATTATAATATATTGTATGTATGCTTTGATTTAAAAATATTATATAAATATTGAATTCCTTGCCTATCTACTATTTTTTAATAGCATTCCAAGAATATATTAGTTCATAAAAATTGTATTAAACTGGCCGATTTTGGATTATCAAAAAGGATCGAAGAAGCGTCTAAATATCCATCAAGAATTTTTGGTTTAGTTCCTTATATCGATCCGAAAAGGTTTAAAAGGCGAATAAGTGAAAACAACGTATTACTTCCATATATACTAAATGAGAAGAGTGATGTCTATAGTGTTGGCATACTATTATGGGAGATATCGAGTGGTAAACCACCATTTTATGATGAAGATGCACAAGATTTTGGTTTAATTACTAGTATTGTGGAAGGTTTCAGAGAGAAAATTATCCCCGACACGCCCGAAGATTATATAAAAGTTTATACTGGTAAGTTTACTATTTAACTTGTAAGAATGATTTATCTGAATGGGTAAAGATTTGATATTTTGATATATATTTCTTAGAATGTTGGGATTTTGAACCAGACAAACGTCCAACTATGAAAAAATTAGTTGCTGAATTAAAACGACTAAAGACAAAAACAGAACATACAACAACGGTATACGAACCAGTCGATTATTATGAATCTTCACCCAATTCGAGTTATACTATCGATTCTGCAATTGATGATCCATTCCGCGGGGAAACATCTCAAATTCGTGAAATTATTGGTGAGATGGATACAAATGATCTTAAAGAACCTTTACCTGAAAGGGATTATCGCAATGAGGTTGATGAAATAGTTGATTTTATTTTTAGAGAATTAAATAAAGGAAAAGCCTTTATACAAGATGAGAAACCAGTTCTTGATTTTCTTAAACTTCAAGAAATTTCATTTTATAAATGGCTTAAATGGAATCAAACGTATCCAAATGCGATTTTTTTACTTGGATATTTTAAGTTCTTTGGAATTGAAACAAGTAAAAAACATGAGATGGCATTTAAGTCTTTCATGAAAATAAAAGATCATGTTTTAGCACAACTTTATATTGGGAAATGTTATGAAAGTGGCTATGGCATTAACAAAGATAAAACTGCAGCTTTTGAATATTACGAAAAAGCAGCTAAAAAAGATTTTACGGTGGGACAAACAAAACTCGGACATTTTTATTATAATGGAATAGGTGTAGCAAAAGATTTAGAAAAGGCGGTAAAATGTTATGAAAATGCTGCGAATTTGGGGAATTTTATTGCAAAATATCATCTTGGTAACCTTTACTTGAATGGAATTGGTGTTAAAAGGAATCGTAATAAGGCTTTCGAATTATTTACAGAATCGGCAGAAGGGAATTACTCAGATGGAATAACCATATTAGGATATTGTTATAAAAATGGAAAAGGAACCAGACATAATACGAAGAAAGCCTTTGAATTATACGTAAAGGCTGCGGAATTAAACAATAAAGTAGCACAATATAATCTTGCTTTATTGTATGAATATGGAGATGGGGTTAAAAAAGACAAACAAAAAGCAAATGAATTGTATACAGAATCTGCTAAACAAGGATATCAAAGTGCAATTGAAAAACTTCAATTATCTTTCAAATGGTTTAATTTATTTTTTTAATTATTTATATGTATTTTAAAATGTATTTATAAAATGTATAATATAACATGTAAATTTGAATAAATTAAATGCTTGTACACTTTTAAAAGTATTTTCGATTCGTCTAATGCTTATTACGGTTAAGGAACGTAGTACAAGATTTGGCGGGTGAAAATGTTATGTACATAATTTTTCGCTACATTTTCTCGGTTCTCTCTAATAACTTTTCGTCAGTAAGCAGTATTAATATCAAGTAGTGTTTTGATCTACGCCCCCATAATACTTCGTAGTATTACGAGGTGTAATACTTTTATTCCGACATTTAAAATTCACATCATAGTATTTTTGCATGTGTTGCAAATTTAATTTGAACTTTATGAGATTTTGAGAAATATTAATTCGTAAAAGAATACCAAGTACTTACTTCGAATGTTTACTGAGCTGTTATCTACAAGGTAATACTTCATAAATGTTAGAGTCGTAAAACTTCGGAGCGCTTCGATGAAAATGTAAATATTACCGCATAATATTTTCGCAAGTATAAGACCAGTGGAGTACTTTGCATCAAAAGGTTTCCTGCTTCAATAGCGTGTTGTGAAACTAAAGACATCAGAAATTGTAAGGAGTATAATAGAAACAGGTTTAATTCACTTAAGCTTCATTTGTATTGTTTGTATTTCTGGTTATATTACTTTTAATTCCTAGTTCAGCGCGTTCATATATAACTTTAGTTTTTGCAATATTATTATAATATTAGATCAAAAATTTATAACCTCAATCTTAACGGAAAATGCTCAATAACGTTCGGAAAAGCGCAGTTTCGCAATTTTGGGTGGACAAAAAAATGTTTATTTTTCATGAGAAAATCTACATGCTAAGATTTATTCAGAAGCCGATTTTTTTTATTTTATTAAGGATTACTTGACATATAACACTCTCGGATTTTGTCTATCCTAATAGCTGTTCTATTCTAGTTTAATGACAGTTAAAATTTTATAACAAAACATCATTTTCATTTATTTGATATATTTAATTACTCGGTATCACGTGATTTTTTATAATTAATAATGACTATAATAAATCGCTTATCAGGCAAAAAAATCATTTCAGGTAAAAAAAAATAATTATCAGGCATTATCGCTGTTTTCGAATTACTGTGGTCACGTGAAATTTTCGTAATAAATAAAAAATTGATTTCGTGATTACAAAAATGTCATGTGTTAGTTTACAAGAACATAA